GAGGAGGAAATAATCTATGACAGAAAAAATGCAATCACTCGGCCTAGTAAACCGACGCCGAGAGGAATTTCGCCGGCCGACCAGACCGAGGGTTTGCCGAGAAGGACAATGGTGTCCAAATGGTGCTTCGGAGTCAAAGCGGCGACCGACCTCGCTGCGAGACCATGAGTGTCGAGTGCGGCGCCGAGGTGATTTTGGGGGCGCGAGTCGCGCAGGTTTAGCGCGTGGCAAGGCACAACAGGCAACACTTTGCTAGAAGGTTTATGAGGCTTTTTCTTAGGGTTGTCGAGCGAAACGCGAGGAGGTTTTGTCGGCCCTCAGGAACGGAAAAAGGAAAAGGCAGTAAAGTCGCTATGTTTGAGAGCTACGAGAGAGGGCCTAATAATTATAAGAACGCGCGGGAGCCCGAGCGCAAGTCCCGCAGGGGCTCGAGTTTACTGCCGTTCGGCGGGGTGGGACCGCCTTTGCGACTGCCGGATGATAACGTGGGCAGGACGGCCGGACCTCTCCTTAGGGAGGAGACAACGAGAGGGGACTGCAAAGGGGTTACGGAAGGAGGAAATTTGACACCCAAAAGAGGCGGCCTTCAAAAAGGAACATGCCTCATCGCCAGATTCCTGTCTCCGCACAGCATAACAGGTATCGACTATAAGACTGTTTGACATTCCAGGTACATGTAGTACAACCCCGGGGTTTATTATTATTTGTAACTAACTCATACGCGAGAAAACACAGACGTCCAAGAAGGGTCACGGGGTTCTGCCGACCACCCACGCCCGACAGGCCCTGGGGGGAGGGAGGACCCCGCAAACCCCTCCGGCCACGACCCCCGGGCACTCCGGGCGGTCCGCGACGGAAGCGCACCGTCTTTGTTCCTCCGTCGACAACCTCCTACCCTCGGACCAACCGTCGGGCGAGTGGTCTGTGGTAGTGTGATCCACCACCGCGTGTGGAAAGTTAAATCACCGAAATAATCTTTTTGAGTTTTACAATCTCATCGAGTTGACAACAAGCTTACGTTTCCTCCTGTGGGTCGTAGACACACCTACACAACAGGCGACAAGTTCCCGGTTACAAAACGTAATAACAGGTTATTTTCACAAAACTAATATAAATACGTCGCACCCCAAAATACTGAGAACACGTTGGGCTGATTGCGGGGGGTTCATTACTGTCTTCAATCACCACTCGAATAAACGGAACGTACCCCACCAAACCCTAGTGTCACAAATTGTATAGGTTTGTATTTGGGTGGTACTGGGACAGAAGTTTATTCATGGAGAACGTCACGTTTGTTTTTTGTCCTTGAGAGGTTGTCATTATTACTCAAGTCATAACATAAAATAATAGTGAGTCAATTTCGAAAAGGACTCAAAGACTACTACAAACCGCTTGACAAAAAATAATAGTCGACCAGCACACACACATTAAGTATTACAAAAATGGGTAAACTAAGGTCATGTTTACCAAATCGTTTTTACTTTTGATATTGGATATTTTCGTAGAAAATGTGTCTTATGGTCCGAGACCGCCACTACTAATTTGAATGTTTGGGACTAGCACATAAACACCACTAACCTCTTCGACACAATTTCACTTCGCAAAGGAGACCTCACGGACGGTTAGCGTCTCGCCTTTTACTTGAAAATGCAAAAGCGTAGTTAGAGAAAAGATAGTTTCAGGCTTACTTCAGTATGGTCCTCTGCCGAGGACCTTCGGTTGTTGACTTCGCGGGCACCGTGAGACCGCCGCCGGACAAGGGGCAGTGTGTTGGACGACGCGCCGGGTGAGGGTGATTGTCGTCCAGGCAAATATCGAGATGACGTAATTCCAGTTAGAAAATTCGGGGTTGCCCACAAAAGAGTTACAGGCTCCTCCGAAGGAACCTTCCTGTTCAGGGAGGCTCCCCCCCGCTCTCGGGGTGGACGCCCTCTCAGCCCTGGTCTGGCGGAAACACTGGGTGCCATGTGTAAATCGAAGAGATAATACATTTACAACATAGCTAGACCAGATGTTTGGAAATGCATGTGTGTATAATGAGATAAGCAACACTCCTTTAGGACGTATGCAACGCGTCACAGCCGTAGGTGACTAGTTATCAATGGAGGATGTGGAAGAATCGACAGCAAAGCATCTCATGTGTTCTCTGGCATTTATTCTGAGGACAACAAACACAGAATGTCCTCTAAACATCCACAACAATGCACACGTCACTGTGAGGGGAGGGCGGAAAAGACATACAGGAAGTAAACAAAGACGTGCAACGGGAAAGTGTTCCCACGGGAAACAAAAATATTAAATGAAACAATCTCATAGAAATAAAATTCACAACTTATTATAAATTCACAAGCTGATAATTATGTATACACAATTTTAACTCTGTTACACATACAGCAACATGAAGGGCGTGTAGCATATTCATAAGTCTACAATTAATACTTTCATTGAATTAAAACTACAATGCATTGATGTTTGAGCACAGATTAATAAGACATATATAATAATGAACATGAGACCCACCTCTCGTCCTCGATGTAGGCGGAGAGCATGCTGCTGTTGTAGAGGAGAAGCACGAGGAACAGAGCCGGCGTTCCCTGAGGATCAAACGTACATTTCAATAAAACTTCTTATGAACATTTCTAGTAAAACAGCTTGTGAATATTTGCTGTACTGAGGAAGGAGAAGTACTCACATTCAGCACGTCCATCTTGCCGACCTGATACGATGCAGAGCCCAGAACTCTCTGAGGAATACCTTTCACTGTGGCCTCGAGGAGAATCTGATAAAAGACTCAACGGTTAAAACGGAGGGGAGATATTTGGATTTTAGCCACTTCAACAACTTCACCAACAGGACGTCAGGAATTAAAAGATATTTGAGTCAGACAATACATTTAAAAAACAGCCAGATTAGCAGGTTTAAGGTCAATGAAACAATAAATGAATTTCAAAAAAGGTATAAGAGTTAAAAAACTGTGAATAGGTGAAAGAGTTTTAGATGAGATTTGTGGTTTTTCTAAGGAAAATAATGTTTGTTGATCTTAAATTAGAACTAAATAAATAAAAAAAAAAGGTTTTAATGATTTGATGTTAAAACAAATAAAGTTAAAGTCCTGTTACGAATCATTAAAATAATACTACATGTTGGTAAAGTTCACAATTACACTTCTAAATTAATATACATTTAGAGGATTATTAAACGTCATGACTAAGTTCTAGCCCGTGTATGGGCCGCCTTTAAAGTCGTTTTGTTTGAATGAAACAAAAAAATGACCTTTAAATTGAGGTGATATTTTTAAATGATTAATTACATTTATTCGATTTTACGTTTATTTCTTATTTAAATCAGTCTCACCAGCACTTTGGCTGCCGGCAGAGCTTCTGAGTCGACGATGCTCTGCAGAGCCAGGAGCATCAGAGTCAGGACTTCCCCTCCGTGACGATCCTTCTTACTGCCTGCTGAACAACAACAACATTAAACTCAACAACAAAGCTCTTCTCCCATCTGCTTCAGAGAAAGACATGAGTCTAGTTTGAGAGTAGAGGGTCATCATTGGGGACGAACCCCTCAGAGTTTGTCTCTCTTCACGGCAGTCGAGACCACGAGGATCCGACCGCTCTGACTTAAACTGATGTAACGTGGGAGTGGGTCGGGGGGGAGAGGAGGACGGGGTCTCTGATCCTCCTCTCATGTGACAGCCCTGATCCAATCACAGTGCTCTATGTGGCGCTGCGAGGCGGGAACCACGACTTTAAGATCCACACACAGCTGAGCAGCAGCCACAACCACAATTTAAATGATTCTCTATCAGGACAATTTAATATAGCAGCAGGAAAATCACTTATTGATCAAATCAAAGTTTTTTTTTTATACAGCCCAATATTAAAAATAACAGGTTTGTCTCAGAGGGCTTTACAGATTAGCAAACATAGATGACAGTGTTACTGCAAACAATGAAAAGACAGGATAAATAAAATAGAACGAGATAAGAATACAACGGAAAGAGAATAAAAACCATAACAAATACAAATGTAGGACACACATAGGGTCTTTAGCCCACTCTTAAGTGTTATAAGACCCTACTTTTTAAAGCTGGCATCAAGTAACCAAACTTTGTTATGTAAGCCCATAGGGGACTTTATTAAAGGTGACATGTCATGCTTTTCCAGTTATTACCCGTCCCCTTGTGTGTTATGAAGGTTTTTCTGCATGTAAACGGTCTGCAGAGTCAAAACCCTCAAAGTACACCCTGTAGCGAGTAAAACTCTAACACAGAAAATACCTCCCCAAAACGCCTCGTTGGAGAAACGTAAAAAAAGCCTCATAATTTTCCACATGATTTAATTTTTTAATTACATTACATCTCACTTGTTAGACGCTTTTATTCAAAGCGACTTACATACTCAGTACTGGGCAATCCCCACAGGAGCAATTTGGGGAGAAGTGTCTCAGGGACACAACGACATGCTGACTGCAGTGGGGTTTGAACCTGTGCTCCGAACACCAATGCTCAACCCACTGCACCACACGCCTCCAATGTTGATCGCATTTGGAAGATGAACACAAGAGCGTGGCACGCGTTGCTTTGATAATACTCTCCTCATTGCATATTAAAAAGGAATAAACCGTGAAAGCACTCACCGGACTCTATGGATAAGTTGACAAACCGGACGAGATTCGTCCATAAGACGGAGAGAAGAGAATCTGTGAGAAGAGATGAAAACATGACTTTGTTAAAACAACAACCAGGTTACAGAAGTGGGTGTCGTAGTTTAATTCAACCTGGACAACAATAAATAACATTATTCCAAATGATGACAGAAGGTGGAGAGGGTATTGCTTTCTGTGGTGAATTTCCATCGACTCAGTAAAGCTGTGACACTTACCTGGAGCGTCCTTGCCGATGTTGATGAATCCGTCTCTGAGGTTGAAGGTGAGCACAGTGGCATGTTTAGTGAAAGAGGAAGAACCAGAGAGGAGAGGGTGCTTCAAGGGCTCTGAAGAAAAACCAAAAAACAGATAATTTTACATCCAAAAGATTGAACATAAGGGCAGTAAAAAGCATGAAGGATGAGAGTGACTTTCCACATGTTTCCATTTCACTATTGGGCAAATTATGATTTCAAACACAATCCTGTTCCTGAGACTCGATTTTAAATTTCAGTCGACTTTAAAGCTGTAGTTTGATCAATGGAAAAGTTAACCTTAAAATCTTTAATGGTAAACTAATGGCGCATTTCCACTACACGGCCTCGCTCGGTATGGCTAGGCCTCGTTAGGCCTGGCTCACTTTATGGCGCATTTCCATTACAGTTTAGGAACAGGGGTAGTAACTATAGTAACGCAGTGTAGGCGGAGCCGTGACGTCATCTTCAATGAGCACCCCAGAAAACCAACATCAGCCGTTAGCTNGTTCTTTAAAAAGTGTCTTATGGCGCTTTTCCACTGCAGGGCCTCGCTCGGCTTAGTACGATATGGCTAGGCCTCGTTAGGCCTCGTTAGGCCTGGCTCACTTTATGGCGCATTTCCATCACAGTTTAGGAACAGGGGTAGTAACTATAGTAATGTAGTGTAGGCGGAGCCGTGACGTCATCTTCAATGAGCACCCCAGAAAACCAACATCAGCCGTTAGCTCTTAGCACTCAGATCTCTCAGCTCCTCATATCTGTTCA